AACAATCTCTTACCTCATCTCCATTTTCTGTTGGCCCAGAGGGTCTCTGACAATGGTCTTCTTAACAGGTTAATGGCTCACCACCTTCTTCCTCCTCCTCCTCCTCTTCTTCTTCTTCGATCACTCGTAGCCGAGTAAGATTGTTTTCCATAACATGGTTTTAACAATGAGTCCGTAAGTGACTGTGGAGGCCAATTCTGGATCCACACGTCCTTCCACAGTGGGGACATTGGTTTCCTGGCAGGAGTTGATGACGGTGTGGATTTGCCAAGCATGCCTTCCTCCTAGCACGTTTCTCCCTTGCATCCTGAATTTGAGTGTCTTCAAAGCCCATGACCCCTTTGGTAAAGGCTGTTCTCCACTTGGAGCACTCACAGGCCAGTGTTTCCTAATTGTTGGTGTTTATACTACATGGGTCACCATTCCAGTGATTACCTCTTGATGATTCTTCTGCCAGGAGGTTTTCCACACATGGAAAAGCTAGTTTTAACTCCAGCCCCAACTAGACTCAAGAATTTAAGGGTATGCATAAACCCTTTACTGAATCCAGATATTTTAGGGGAGTCTTGCCACCCCCCAAAATAAACCAGTAACATTTGCATCTCTTCAAATAATCAAAATACCCCCAGTTTACAGAGTGCAAATAGATTGGTGAGCTGGTGGCAGCTGGAGAGAAATTTCAACTGATCTCTAAAAACATCACAAGGATTCCAACAGGAAAATGTATATTCATGGGCAAAACATCCAGGGCAAACTTCAGCTGATGCATGAAAGGTGCAGCAGATTTTGGTAGGCGTGTGGCAATATCGCTGCTTTAGCGTGTGTTTATCTGAAGGTGGTTTTACACTCCCAAACGTTTCCTGGTGGTAGACCTAAAACGCACAGCAGACGGGCAATTTCCAGCTGGGTGGAGGGTAGCTGGAAATGGCACTGATGAGTTGGTAAAACTGATCTTATTATTGTTCCTCCCAAGCCCCTTTCAGGGTCCTGCTCTGAACTTGGCCTTCTCGTTACTTTAGTGAAACCCAACCCTGGAAAAACAGAGAGATGGCTGATAAGGCCGAGGCTAAAAAGTTCAATCTGTGGGGATGGAGGATTCATTTCAGCCCATCGGGGACTTGCTCTTCTGCTAAGTGGTGACATAATTGCAGGACGGGGGTCCCTGGGGGTCCCTGGCGGGCTGTCTCCCTATTGCCAGCTCTGCTGCATAAGAATGTCGACTCTCGCATTAAGAGAGCCACAAGCCTTGCTGAACCAATTAGCCCATTCAATATGGGACAGGCGACATATTGAAGGATATCAATACTTCCTCTAGCCTTGTGCCTATAGATACTCGGCTCCCACACTCTGCCTCCTGTTCCCTGCCTGCCCTGAACCATCTTGCTTCATAACACATGTTTTAAGCTTCTGGTGAAGAGTCATGTGGAAGCTCAAGGCCATTTGTACCAATGGCATACCCTCCAACATTTCTCCATTGAAAATAGGGATGTCCTATTTAACAACAACAACAACAACAACAACAACAACAACAACAATACCCCACTCATCTGACTGGGTTGCCCCAGCCATTCTAGGTGGCTTCCAACATATATAAAACATGTTAAAACATTAAAAAAACCTTCCCTATGCAAGGCTGCCTTCAGATGTCTTCCAAAGACTGTATAGTTACTTATCTCCCTAGCTCAGGGGTCACATAACTCCACACCCTCTAACATTTCTCCAGTGAAAATAGAGACATCCTAAGGAAAAGATAAGGGATGCAGGTGGTGCTGTGGGTTAAACCACAGAGCCTAGGGCTTGCCGATCAGAAGGTCGGCGGTTCGAATCCCCACGACGGGGTGAGCTCCCATTGCTTGGTCCCTGCTCCTGCCTATCTAGCAGTTTGAAAGCATGTCAGAGTGCAAGTAGATAATTAGGCACCACTCCGGCAGGAAGGTAAATGGCGTTTCCGTGAGCTGCTCTGGTTTGCCAGAAGCGGCTTAGTTTCCAGGTCATGCTGGCCACATGACCTGGAAACTGTACGCCGGCTCCCTCGGCCAGTAAAGCAAGATGAGCGCTGCAACCCCAGAGTCATCCGGGACTGGACCTAATGGTCAGGGGTCCCTTTACCTTTACCTTTACCTTTAAGGAAAAGATAGACATTCCAGGATCAAATCAGAAACTGGCTTCTGTAAATCTGTCGCTGGAAGATAGGGACGCTTGGAGATTCTGCAATGGCCACGTTAGCACTTTGCAGTTATTGACAATACTATGGAACCTCGGTTGTCAAACATAATCCGTTCCAGAAGACTGTTCAACTTCTGAAACATTTTACAACCAAGGGTCAATTGCCAGTCGGCAAAATCGATTGAAAAAATGGAGAAACGAGCCTCGGAAGCTGTTCGACTTCCAAGGCCCGTTCAAAAATGGAAGCATTCACTTCCGGGTTGTCAGCGTTCGGGTTCCAAATTGTTCGGCTTCCGAAGAGTTTGACAACCGAGGTTCCATTTCAGTTTGCTTTAAAAATAAAACCTGGCCTTTTTCCACGCTGGGAAAGACCTTAGATGAGAGGCCTATATGTTGCACGCAGAAGATTCCAGGCTCAATCTTCCACATCTCCAGGCAGGGCTGGAAGTGGCCCCCATCTGAATTCCTGCAGAGCCCTGCTGGTGTAGATAATACTGGGCTCGGCGGACTTGTGGTCTAAGGTCTCAGTCAGCTTCTTGCTGTGCTCAGAGTCATCCCAACCTGAGGTCTTTCACAACACACGGCAAGGTAGGCTAGTATGAGAAATGGTGACTGGCCCAAGGTCACCCAAGGAGATTCCTGGCTGAGAAAGGATTTGTAAAATGTCCAAGGCACACAGTGGCAACTGGGTGCCCACTGGGGTGGTTGGATTGAAATGTATGGAGCCCAAAAGCTGCAGCCAATGGCAGACAGAGCTAACTCATTCTAATTTTGTCCCCATCTTACTCTCTGCTGAATTTCACTACTACTACTACTAATACTAAGGGACGCGGGTGGCGCTGTGGGTAAAACCATAGAGCCTAGGGCTTGCCGATCAGAAGGGCGGCGGTTTGAATCCCCACGATGGGGTGAGCTCCTGTTGCTTGGTCCCTGCTCCTGCCAACCAAACAGTTCAAAAGCATGCAGCACAAGTAGATAAATAGGTACCGCTCTGGTGGGAAGCTAAACAGTGTTTCTGTGTGCTGCTCTGGTCTGCCAGAAGTGGCTTAGTCATGCTGGCCACATGACCTGGAAGCTGTACGCTGGCTCCCTTGGCCAGTAAAGTGAGATGAGCGCCACAACCCCAGAGTTGTCCATGACTGGACCTAACGGTCAGGGGTCCCTTTACCTTTTACTACTAATACTACTATCAAATTTATATGCCACCCAGTGCTGGATTAAACCCTATGGAGGTTCCCAGGCAGTCGAAATCTCTATCTCTGTTTGCCCCCCTGCAAAGTATCTCCTAATAAGTTTCTGATTTTACCAACCAACCATTTTAATAAACCAATTCCAAGATCAAATCAATATTATTTTGATCTGTTGTCACTGGCCCCTAAAAAGCCGATGCCTACTCTGCCTGTTTCGTAATCCTGCACTGATACCGCCCATCGTTTGAGGAACCCAGGGTGGTTTTCAGTATAAAAGCACAAAAAATGCATCACATTATAACAAAGAAAAAAGAATAACCCCAGCTCTGCTTTAAAAGGCCATAGATTTTTTAATTAGCCAAAGGCCTGGCAGAAGAGGAACATTTTTGTCTTGTGCCTAAAGGTATGCAATGAAGGTTCCAGGTGAACCTCCCTATCTATCTCTTTATGATACTTACACCAGCTGGACCCCAATTAACCTTTAAAACAGTAATCCAACAGCTACCTGCCACAACAACTTTAAGTTCAACACACTGCAAACATTTTTGCTCTGGGTTTAGATTTGCCAGTGCTGGTTGCCAAATGGCTAAGGAAACTGTGTTTCTATGCTGCTGTTAAAACAGTCCAACATAGGAAGACACAAGATCTACCCACCTTGGAAGAATGGCAGATGAAGCTGATGGACTATATGGAACTGGCGGAAATGACCGGCAGAATCCGAGACCAGGGAAAAGAGTCGGTGGAAGAAGATTGGAAGAAATTCAAAGATTATCTACAGAAATATTGTAAAATTAATGAATGTTAGAATGATGTTCGATAAAAACTAAGTGGTTCTTAGCTGAAATGTTACAAGGGAAGATGAAAAAAGGGTTTATTATGTAATATGTAAAAATCTAAAAGTATAATATTTTTATGATTAATGATTAAAAGAGGGGAGGGAACTGCTGAACAAAATATGTGAACTGGAATACAAAAAAGGGAGGCGCGAGGAGGTCGGGGAAACAAGTAAATGAAAGATAAGACATAGAAAGACTAATCTGTTTGTTTAACTGCTTTTATTCTGTATTTTGTATTTTTCCATTTTTATATCTTTTTTTTTATCTGCTTTCCTTTTCCTTTTTTCGCTCATTTTTGTAATATGTTGACATTTTAATAAATATCTTTTAAAAAAATAAAAATAAAACAGTCCAACATAATGCACAGTTGAGATGGGTTTATTTTGGGGTGGGGGCAGCTGGCTAAACAAATGTAGAATGTGCAAATGCAAGAGCTCTGAATAAGTGGTCAAATAAACATATTAGCTGGCAAAATATAAGGTTTGGCAAACACATCTGTGATCACCATATTGCTTTGAAACCATTTAAGGCCTCCATTTGTGATTGCAGCCATTCCATAACATGCCATTCCCTGCTTGCACCCCCCCATTTAAGTGGTTAGAGACACCCTTGTGTTTAGTCTATTAAAAAGAGACCAGGCATATTTCGGGAACAATGGTCTGGGTGACCGAGGTGTCAGTTACACTAATACATGAAGTAGCTGTAAGTCAGGTCAAAATACCATGACTTTTCTTTCTTTCTTTCTTTCTTTCTTTCTTTCTTTCTTTCTTTCTTTCTTTCTTTCTTTCGTAACTTCCTTTGTCTTAAGGGAAGGGCCTAGCTCAATGGAAGAACATCTGTTTTGTTTGCAGAAAGCCACAGGTTCAAACCCTGGCCTCTCCAGGTAGGGCTAAGAAATATAGTGGTACCTTGGTTCTCAAACACCTTGTTACTCAAACGCCTAGGTTCCCAAACACTGAAAACCCAGAAGTAAGTGTTCCAGTTTTCGAATGTTTTTTAGAAGCTGAATATCTGATGCAGTTGTCAGCTATTGTTTCTGGGGTGCCTGCACCAATCAGAAGCTGTGCCTCGGTTTTGGAAAATGTTTGTTTTTGCTATTTGTTTTGTGTTTTTGAGGCTTTTCGGTTAATTTTTTTTTGTGACTGTGTGGAACCCAGTTCAGCTACTGATTGATTGATTGATTGTGTGACTGCGGAAATGAATGAAAGCCCCCCATCCATGCAATACTGATAGTACAGTACATTGATTATTGCTTTCATTTTATGGATCAATGGTCTCATTAGAAAGTAAAATTCATGTTAAATTGCTGTTTTAGGGGTTGTTTGTAAAAGTCTGGAACGGATTAATCCATTTTGCATTGCTTTCTATGGGAAAGCACGTCTTGGTTTTGGAATGCTTTGGTTTTGGAACGGACTTCCAGAACGGATTAAGTTCAAAAACCAAGGTACCACTGTACTGTACTCTCTCACCTGAAACACTGCGAGTCAGTGTAGACAAAGCCCTGTGTTTAGAGGGAGGCCAACATAAGCTAGAGAAAGTTGCCTGGATGAGTTTTCTTTTATGCTGGTTAAACATTTGTTTTTCAGCAGACAAAGATACTTAGCGAAGTTCTGTCAGACTCCTTCCCTTCCCCAGGGCTACAACTGTTTTGCACAAAGATACAGCAACTCGGGCTTTCAGAGGATCTCCTGGGTGCTGTGGCTTTCCTAGTCACCAAGGCCATGTTAAAAACTAGGCTGTGGGACATAGATCGGCAGGAACTAATCTCAGCTGCAGAAAAAACATGTTCCCTGTTAAGTTGGGGTTGAACATATCAGACGACACAGCGATTCTTCCAAAGCAGCTCTTTATTTGTAAGCTGGAACAGAACTGAACTGAGGAGCTCAGTCAGCCTGCTTATATAGAGCTCCAGAGCAATCGTAACTGTTGCAACTTTCTAAAACTATCCAATCACTGCACATCACTTTTGATCCTTCATTTGCATACAGACTATCCAGTCACTGAATGTCACTTTTGATCCTTCATTTGCATAACTATCTACAGTATCCCCCTGCTGGGCCAGGGTGAGAACTTCAGTACATAACATTCCCCTCTTTATTTTTGACTCTCTTGGGTGCAGGAATTTAAGCTTAATTACTTAAAATTTTTGTTTAACCCACAAGAAAGAAGGGCTTTTTCGCTGGCTAGGTTCAATTCTAATCCTTCTAACCTCCTTTGGGGTTGGTTTGTGGGTTTGGCAGAAGGAGATAGGATCTGCCCATGCGATGCCCACCAGGTGCAAACTCTAGCTCACATGGTCCTTAAATGTAAAATGTATTATGATCTCCACCAACAATTTCTATACCATGTATGTATTCCAATATGGAAACTAGAGACAGAGGTTATACGCTTCTTATTACAGGGGAGAGACCAGGAGCTCACCAAGACAGTAGCTAAGTTCCTGTGTTTGATTTTTTGTCGCTGAAGTACGCTACAGGATCCTGCCCTTGCTGGAGACCCACAGAGATTAAATAGATTGCTCGCCTCTTCTTCCCTTTGGCAAATGACTGTACTGTTGAAACGGTGATGAGATCTCACTGGTCTGTTTATTCTGAATGTTTGTATGTGATGCCAATAAAGGTTTGATGATGATGATGATGATGTGTGTAGACAATTCTGAGCTGGAGAGACCCATGGCTTGATGCAATACAGTGGTACCTCGGGTTAAGTACTTAATTCGTTCCGGAGGTCTGTTCTTAACTTGAAACTGCTCTTAATGTGAAGCACCACTTTAGCTAATGGGGCCTCCTGCTGCCGCTGCACCGCCGGAGCACGATTTCTGTTCTTATCTTATCTGTTCTTTTCTGTTCTTGGACTACTGCAATGCGCTCTACGTGGGGCTACCTTTGAAGGTGACCCGGAAACTACAATTAATCCAGAATGCGGCAGCTAGACTGATGACTGGGGGCGGCCGCCGAGACCACATAACACCGGTCTTGAAAGACCTACATTGGCTCCCAGTACGTTTCCGAGCACAATTCAAAGTGTTGGTGTTGACCTTTAAAGCCCTAAACGGCCTCGGCCCAGTATACCTGAAGGAGCGTCTCCACCCCCATCGTTCTGCCCGGACGCTGAGGTCCAGCGCCGAAGGCCTTCTGGCGGTTCCCTCATTGCGAGAAGCAAAGCTACAGGGAACCAGGCAGAGGGCCTTCTCGGTAGTGGCGCCCGCCCTGTGGAACGCCCTCCCATCAGATGTCAAAGCGATAAATAACTACCTGACATTTAGAAGACATCTTAAGGCATCCCTGTTAAGGGAAGCTTTTAATCTGTGATATTTTACTGTATTTTTTGTTTCTATGGAAGCCGCCCAGAGTGGCTGGGGAAACCAAGCCAGATGGGCGGGGTACAAATAATAAATTATTATTATTATTATTATTATTATTATTATTATTATTATTATCCTGAAGCAAAGTTCTTAACCCGAGGTACTATTTCTGGGTTAGCAGAATCTGTAACCTGAAGCTTATGTAACCTGAAGTGTATGTAACCCGAGGTACGACTGTATAAGCCAGATACACTCATGGCTCCGCAGAAGGCAGCTTCTTCTGTTGGTGGGGGACGAGCTTTGTGTTGCATCACCATCAAGTTCTTGCACTAAAGTCGCCTTGGCATTTTCGCTTTCTCAGAGTCGCCTTCCTCCAGTGTCTCTCAGCGCCAGCTGTGTGTTCGAAGGAGCGCTGCCCTAGTTGAATAACTTTCATCTTCACTCATTTGACCTCTTAAGGACTTAATCTCACGTATAGCTGTTAAGTAGGGGAGAGTTTCTAAGAAGGTAGCTGTGTCTCTCCCCACTCCTTCTCCTCTCTCTCTCTCTCTCCCCCCACCTTCTTTCTATGGCAAATACGATCCAGGGTGTTTGAAAAATTTGAGAATTTCTACCCAGGCTAATCCTTTTAAACCTAGCTATGCTTATTAGCTTTCTTTGAACAGATAAGGCTTAAAGAGATGTGTCATTTGAAGAAGGGAAGTCAATTTTTAACTGCAAAGACGGCTACAAAACAGGGGGGAACACAGAAGGTGAAGCGTGGCGTGTGATGAAATGGTGGCGATACACACAGCTTCTAAATCTCTCCTAAAACTATATTGTCGGAATGACAGAAATTACTAGTGAGCTGTTATGGTTTTAGGAGCTATAGGGCATCAGCCTATTTAGTGAGTGCTAAGAAGGCACACAATTCCCTCCCTGTCTCTCAAGTCTCTCCCGATGGCGTGGCAGCCATCGCTTCGTCCTCCCCCCCCCCCCGTACTTCCTGACAAGAGTCTCGAATTTATCAGCTAGTGGCTTGAAATGTAAAGATAGGAGGGAGGGCGACAGAGAAAGAGCTTCCTACTTTATCCATCTGTAAGGGCGGAGAAGGATTCATAAACCCCTTTGAATCCAAATGGCAAATTTTAATTGAGCTCTTCCCTATCCCGCATGATTTATGGGATGCATCTGCCTCTTTAATTAATGCAGATACTGAGGAACGATGCGCCGCCTGCGTGAGGTTGCTGTGGCGAGCCTCCAAACATGTCCGCCGTGGCTAGGCATCTCCTCGTTATTGCGGCGCTGCTTAGAGCAGCTGTCGGCTGAGTTGAAAGACAGGTTTCATTAAAATATCAGCGGCGCATTTGGACCAGAGACTGTTACCAGGAATATTGCAGGATCGCCTCCAAAGGCCGTTGCCAAGAGCTAACGTTCGCCTGTCCCGTCGAATGCTTATCTTAATGTTTGTTTACAGCTAATATTTCAAACAGGAACTTCTGAGTTTCCGAGAGAGTTTCTTCAAGGAGTCCTTTGAAAAGTGTCTTATCCCCTAAACACACACACACACCTAAATGGAGAGTTGAGCATAAAGGCACCTATATATAGTCACAAGCCTACAGGTTGTCTATGGTTTGTCTGCCTCTAGGCCTCCCTTCTCATTGGCCAAGCTGCTGTGATGTCATGGCATGTTCATAAGCATTCTGAACTCTTCGGAGAAAACTGTCAGCCACAGTGTTATGAAAAAGCGATGGTTTTCTGGGGCAGTTTTGGGGGGGGAATCACTTGGGCTGGGGGGAAAAGGAAACTTGCGCAAGCCTTAGGAGCAGGAAAGCTCTGTTGGCAAGCGTTAGAGGAGAGATTCAGAGAAACTGGGGGAAGAGGGAGGCTGAAGGACGAGAGGCCAATGGCGGGACGTGTAGTTGGCTAAGAAGCAGGAATGTGAGAGGATAATGTACTTTGAGGTGGTACTAGGTTGCCATATTTAAAAAAGTAAAATTCCTAACACCTGCAAATTTGTTCAGCTTTTTGGGGGAAACAAACCCAAACAGTTGAGCTTTTTGGGGGGAAACCTAAGCCAAAAATATTGATTTAAAGCTTTTTGAGCCGTTTCCGATGCTTTTTCCATTGTGTTGCCATACACCTGAGTTTTCCACAATGTTCCCCCTGATGCCATTTTTACACCCGCAAACCAGGACATGTCAGGAATAAGTGGTACAGGATCTTAATACCACTGAATTCAGGGCTGGCCGACCCATGAAGGAGGGTGAAGCAGTTGCTGCAGGCAGTGCCATGCTACAGGCATGATATGGATCGAAACAGGGGCAGCAGGGCAGGGCACCCCTCCCCTTTTCGCCTCAGATGCACCGCCCCTGACTGAAATCTGGGGAAACCCCAAATCCCGTGACAAATTTTTAGCTGCACCCATTAATTTAAATGATTTTATGTGTTTTCCTTTGCACAGGACACAGGGTGGCTCAACATATTAGTAATTATCAGAATCATAATAGTATTAATAACTCAAGAGGACATAAAATCAATTAAAAACACACAATAACAAATCATAGTGGCAGTCAGAGGCGCCAGGTTGCCCCCAAGA